GGAGAGGATTTAGCCACTAGGCTATTGTACCAGGCCCCACTGAAAAGTTTTTAAACTGATTTTCTTGGTGCTTCCAGAGTCTTCAAATCAATTCAGCTGCTCTCACTTAAAGGCTAACAGTTGTAAACAAAGTCTAGTTTTACCGGATACATTTTCCTTTGCCTGTTGCTAATAAGACCTATTTGAAAGGTTCGTTTATTTAACACAGAAATTAACACAGAAACCGTGACTCAATCTTCATGATCAAATGGCCACGACAGCCAGGGCCGAAGCCAAGGCCATGACCACTCTGGGTCTCGGCATGGTGGGGGTGGGGCAGAGAAACAGGCACCTGGGCCACTGCGGCCTGCCTCCCAGCTACGTTGGCAGGAAGCTGGATGGGAAGCATCTAGAAGTCAGACATTGAGCTGACGCTCTGCAACGCTACCGCAGCCATCCCAGATGGCAAGATACGGTGCGGTGTCATGCCCTAGACAAGGAATTATATGAATTTCCCATTCAAATACTAAGGCAAGAGTAATATTGTGATCACACATGATCAAAATGTTGTCAGCAGTGAGAGAATACACATCCATTCATGTGCGCAGCAGCTTCCTCCAGGTTTCCCATGTGGGTGCAGGGTCCCAAGGCCTTGGGCCGTCCTCGACTGCTTTCCAGGCTATAACTAGTGCCCATGTGGAATCCCAGTGCATGCAAGGTTTAGCCACTAGGCTACATGCAGTCCTCTTTTTTTTTTTTTTTTAAAGATTTATTTTTATTATTTTTTCATTGGAAAGGCGGATATACACAGAGGAGAGACAGAGAGGAAGATCTTCCGTCCGATGATTCACTCCCCAAGTGAGCGCAACGGGCCGATGCTATGCCGATCCGAAGCCAGGAGCCTCTTCCGGGTCTCCCACGCGGGTGCAGGTTCCCAAAGCTTTGGGCCGTCCTCTGCTGCTTTCCCAGGCCACAGGCAGGGAGCCATGCAGTCCTCTTTAACTTTCAAATAAGTAAATGAAATAGGGGAAGCTCAGGGAGGCCCCAGGGCGGAGCTTTCACCGGAGTTCAGTCCTGGAATTCTGGTTGACTCGCCACTTCCCATGGCTGATCTTCAGTCTCCAGTAATAACCCATAGTGTCACTATCCAGTGTGTCTTAGAGACCCAGCTAAAGAAAGGCACTCATTATGGGGTATCCTAGTGGCTCAAGTCCATGCCTTGAACATGTTGGGATCACATGGGGGCACCGGTTCTAATTCCGACAGCTCCACTTCCCATCCAGCTCCCTGCTTGTAGCCTGGGAAAGCAGCGGTTGAGGACGGCCCAAAGCTTTGGGACCCTGCACCTGCATGGGAGACCTGGAAGAAGCTCCTGGCTGTGGCTTGGGATTGGCACAGCTCTGGCTATGGCAGCCACTTGGAGAGTAAACCAGCAGATGGAAGAACTTCCTCTCTATATGTCTTTCCTCCTCTCTGTATATCTGCCTTTCCAATATAAAAAAAAAAAAAAATCTTAAAAAAAAAAAGGACACTTAATAGGAAATTCTTAGAGAACAGAGGTTACATCCCTGGGGCAAAGTGCAAAGGACAAATGTCTCTTGGAATGAACAGTAATTCTTAGTTATACACCTGTCTCCCCCCTTCAATTTTGTCCCTGTAGTGTGAATGTAGCAATAGTCAAAACATAAATAAGCACAGCTATGGTTCGATGAAATTTATTTAAGGACACTGATATTAGAATTTCTGTAGTTTTCTCTGTAGTGTCCATGTGTTATGTGATGCTTTCTGCCCCACCTGCCACCTTGAAAGAATAACAACACCACCATTTTCAGATGGCCAGCAGGATTTGGTCCTTGGTCTACTGTCCACCAACCTCCGACCTGGATGACCATTTTTGTAAGTAAATATTCATTTTTTGTCTACTAACAGAAGAGCATTTGTCCCAGGTAATGTTACCATCGCCTGTGAAAACGAAAGGTTAATAGTTCAAAGAGAAAAATGTGTAGGAGACTTGAATGTACATGCTTTACCATGCTTTTCAGAAGTACAGATCTTGGACCCTGGCGTGGTGACCTAGTGGCTAAAGTCCTCGCCTCGCCTCGCATGTGCCAGGATTCCATATGGGCACTGGTTCTAATCCCGGCAGCCCCGCTTCCCATTCAGCTCCCTGCTTTTGGCCTGGAAAAGCAGTCGAGGATGGCCCAAAGCTTTGGGATCCTGCACCTATATGGGAGTCCAGGAGGAGGTTCCTGGCTCCTGGTTTCGGAATGGCACAGCACCGGCTGTTGCGGTTACTTAGGGAGTGAATCATTGGGCGAAGATCTTCCTCTCTGTCCCTGCTTTCTGTATACCTGGCTTTGTAATAAAAATAAAATAAATCTTAAAAAAAAAAATAGTAGTACAGATCTCACCAAACTCACAGGGAATCTGGGCCATTTTAAGTATAAGCAGTAAATTTGTTTTAGAAAAATACACTGACTTACCTCTCCCATACACATACTACCGATTCAAACCCTTGCTCTGCAACCAACTCCGAGGTTGCAACTCCCTATCAAAGGCTGTGGCTGATGCATTGTCATTGTACACACAAGTGAGGTGAACTGAGAGAAACTGGGGCAACAAAGATTGTTAATAAACAAAGATTAATGAACTAATATTTTTTGGAAATCTTGCGATACCTGTGTCCGACATGGAAGTGCCAGCAGTGTTTGCTGCTGCTTCTAATCTGGCTTCTTACCAAAGAGCCCAGGAAGCAGCAGCAGATGGCTCTAGAACTTGTTTCCTGCTACCTACATGTGGGATTTCAGGCCTCTTGGCTTCAAACTGGTCCAGTCCTGACTGCTGAGGGAATGAACCAGATTGGAAAAACCTCCATTTCTCTGTCACTGTGTTATAAATGAACGAGTGAGCAAATGAAATCTTTCAAGATCTTTTTGCCTCTCCTTCTCTGTAAAATCTGCCTTTCAAATAAAAACAAATCTTAAAGAAAAAGTACTGACTAGAACTCTGCATGTTGGGCAGATTTTAAAAAGTGTTGCAGGGCCCGGATTTGTTCTTTAGTTTGTAGAACTGCTCCTCTCCTGACTTAGCTCCCTGCCAGTGCCAGGAAAGCTGTGGAAGAGGGCCCCTGTGCCCACATTTAAGACCAGAGGTCCGGCCTGGCCTTGCGTGTTGCACCCATTTGAGCAGCAGACCAGTGGATGGAGGGTTGCTGTCTGCTTTGTAACTGCCAGTCAAGGAAGGTAAATAAATCTTCAAAAGTCTGGGAAGCACTGCCTCCTTCCACACTTGCAGACGGACTGGCCATCAGTGACCAACACTTTTCATATAAGGATGTTTTGTATCATGACATGATCTTGCTTTGTAGTCCCTTTAGATAGCAGGCACACCAAAGACAGGCATTCTCTTCCACTCTCGGTTTTTGAGCAGGTGTTGTCTGAGAGGGAGTACAGCAAGAATGCCTCCCATTTTTGTGCATCTTTTTCTGTGTTTGTAAAGCCAGCCCTTACATACAGCAATTTCCAAGAATGTCTCAGCAGTGTGCAGCACAGTTTGTGATGCCTGTGGGAAAAGCCAACAGTTCGTTAGAGGAAGTGAAATTCTTTCAAGTTCACTTTTCCAACCTCAGGGCCGGAGAAGTCCCTCTGCTAACAGGTGTTTGTTTTTGTCTCCCTCCTACCTTGCCGCCTCCCTCAGCTCCTTGCTTGTGTGAACTTGCCTTCTACTGCACATTTCAATCCCACCCACACTGCTTTCTCCAATCATTCGCAATTCTTTTTTTCTCAGAACTTTTCTTTCCCCTCAAGATTTTATTTTTATCAGAAAGGCAGATCAGATTTACAGAAACAGAGACAAAGATCTTTCACCTGCTGTTTCATTCCCCAAATGGCCAAAAACATGGATAATCTATAAACTTCAGTGTGGCATTCTCTACCTTTCTAAATAAAGGAAAAGCAGGGAAGAAGAAAGACCAATAAAATAAATAAAGCACAACCACAGAGCCTGGAAGCATAAGTGACCATAAGATAGATCAGTTAAGAAAATAGATTCCTTGGCAGGACATTTGGTGACCGACCTGAGGTACCATTTGAGATGTGGCATCTACTCTATCAGACTCCATCTGGCTATCTAAATGCCTGGCAGGCACCCAAAAACTTGGCCATCATCAACTGTTTTCCTGGAAGCAGAGCAGTCAGGACTTTGATCGGTGTTCTGCTCAAGAGGTGGCTCATGTCACTGCACCATGACGCCTGGCACAGGAGTGGGTATTTTTTTTTTTAATTATTTTTTTAATTTTTATTGGGAAGGTGGATATACAGAGAGCAGAGACAGAGAGGAAGATCTTCTGTCCGATGATTCACTCCCCAAGTGGCCACAACGGCTGGAGCTGTTCCAATCCGAAGCCAGGAGCCTCTTCCAGGTCTCCCACACGGGTGCAGCGTTCCAAGGTTTTGGGCCGTCCTCGACTGCTTTCCCAGGCCACAAGCAGGGAGCTGGATGAGAAGCGGGGCTGCAGGATTAGAACCAGCGCCCATATGGGATCTCGTGCGTCCAAGGTGAGGACCTTAACCACTGCGCCATCACTCCGGGCCCAGGAGTGGGTATTTTTGAGGACCCAGTCTGTAAGAAGATGGGAATGGCCAGAGGCAAGCATGTGCCTTTGGAAGGTCCCTCTGCCTGCCTGCCTGTGCCCCTGACCTGGGCATTCCTCCTAGAATCACTTTTTCAGGAATATTTTTTCTTTTTTACTTCCATCCACTGGTTCATTTCCCCAAACAACTATAATAGCCAAAGCTGAACTGATGCGAACCCACGAGCTTCTTCCAGGGTCCCAAGGCTTTGGACCAACTTTACTGCTTTCCCAGGCCACAAGCAGGGAGCAAGATGCAAAGTGGAGCATCCGAGACACAAACTGGTACCCACATGGGATTCTGGTATGTGCAAGGTGAGGATTTAGCCAGTGAGCCATTGATCTGGGTCCAGGAGTGATTTTTTGTTAAAAGAAGAATGATTCAAAATATATGGTAAGAAATTACACTTTTATCAATGCAGAAACAAGTTTCCTTAAAACCCCTCAGTCACATGTTTAAAAGAAATCCAGAACCTCCAGCAGCCACGCTGCTCTCCAGCGTCCACAGTTGAGAGCAGGTTCAGCGAAAGGTGCAGGTCAATGGTCCAAGTACACGCTGGCACGTGTGATGCTGAGAAGCTCACAAACAAATTGCTGTCTTTTGTCTGGATGCATAGGGAGAGTCACATGACGGAGCTCTGTAAAAGTCTATGAAGGACAACTGGGAACCTCAGAAGAGTTCCAGCACTTCAATTGAATACCGTCCTCTGTTATTCTTCTCTTGGTTTAGTTTCTGTAGCTCCCGGAAACTTACTTCTATCTTGTTAAGCTCAGAATAAACAGAGATCTAAAGGAAAAAGGTTGTAGAGTAAATTTTACTGTAACTTCTACATATGAATAAATCCTTTGTTATATAAACTTCGGAGAAAAAGAATCAGGACTACATTGTAATTTAGGAGACATCTGGGGACAAACAGAATGATTCTACACCAAATAGTCACCAACCTGGGATTTCACAAACTTGTAAAGATTCATCAACAGCCTTTTTGCTTCCGGTATCATTACCACCACAGTGAAGTTGGCATCTAGCAGCAGGCATATCCAGTCCATAATCTGGAGATAAGCAAGTAACAGGGAAGTTAAGGTAATTTTTGTTAGAAAGAACACACTAAGTTTTACAAAAGTCTGTACACTTTTTAGTTTTGAAATGGAAGAAATTAGTAAGAAACATGAAGAGGAATTTCCTGCTTTTTGTACTTAGTTTACAAGCATAATTAGATCTTTCTCAAAGGATTAATAAGCAATAGGAAAAACAGTGATACTTAACTAAAAGAGATTCAGTACCTGTTACTTTATTTCCACAATTGTTTTGATAACTGCAGTTATACAGAAAATGAACTTCCATGTCATCTACAATCAAACATGTATGATCCTCTATGGACAAGACATTGTAGATTATGAGTGCATCAGCTTGGTCCCCAACTGCCCAGGACAGCAGGAGCAGGCTAGGCTCCAGCCAAGAGATTGGCATCTGAGGTCTCCTACAAGGTAGTTGGGACCCAAGGACTTGCGTCACTGTCTGTTGCCTCCTGGAGTGTGTGTCTCTAGCAAGAAGATGGAATGTGGAGCAGAGCCAGAACTTGAGCCAGGCACTCTGATAACAGGACATGCATTTCCTACTGCTGCCCTAAAACTGACCCCTGGAGAGAACATCAAGGCAGCGACTACCATCAGGCTGGTCCTGTGTTCCCCCAACCAGGCTACGGGAATTCCTGGCAAGTCACAATGATGGATGCGAATATAACATGAATTTAAATCCTGAAGCACAGAATTACACTTTTAGAAGTATACATTCCAGACCTGGCACTCTGGCTCAATAGCTAGGTCCTCACCTTGCAAACACTGGGATCCCATATGGGTGCTAGTTTGTGTTTGGGCTGCTCCACCTGCCATCCAGCTCCCTGATCATGGCTTCAGAAAAGCAGCAGAGGATGGCACACAATTTTGGGACCCTGTACTTGTGTAGCAGACTTGCAATAAGTGCCTGACTCCTCAGATCAGTCAGCTTGGCCACGAAAGCATTTAAGAAGTGAACCAGCAGATGGGAGCTCTTTCTCCTTCTCTCCGTAAATCTGATACTACTTTCCAATAAAACTATAAATACTTTTTTTGTCAGCATCATCATTTGTATTATTGCTTTTTAATATTTTAATAATTTTTTAAAAAGATTTATTTTATTTTCATTACAAAGTCAGATATATAGAGAGGAGGAGAGGCAGAGAGGAAGATCTTCCATCTGATGATTCACTCCCCAAGTGAGCACAACAGCTGGTGCTGTGCCAATCCGAAGCCGGGAACCAGGAACCTCTTCTGGGTCTCCCACACAGGTGCAGGGTCCCAAAGCTTCGGGCCGTCCTCGACTGCTTTCCCAGGCTACAAGCAGGGAAGCTGGATGGGAAGTGGAGCTGTCAGGATTAGAACTGGCGTCCATATGAGATCCCAGCACGGTCAAGATGAGGTCTTCAGCTGCTAAGCCACCAAACAGGGCCCAAAAAAATAAATCTTAAAACAAAACAAAATCTTATCATTTTTTGTAAACTCTGCCTTTCAAATAAAATAATAACAACAAATTCCACTTGCTACCTAGCCAGACTTTCTCCCTCCAGTGATTTGTATACATGAAGAAAGTTCGAAAAATCATTTATTCAATTACAGGTGCTAACACTGCATATACGTTTCTGTCAAGAGTATTTTTTTACTTGCAAGATAGAGTGCTGGTTCACTCTCCAAATACCTGCTGTCGCTGAGGCCCAGGAGCAAGGAACTCCATCCATGTTGCCTCCACATGAATGGCAATCTTTCACTTCTCTCCCACATTCTCAGGCAGTTGGGATCAGAGGCAGAGCAGCTGGGACTTGAACCAGCAGTGGTAAGGGTTCGTGATGTCAGAGTAACTTCAGGTACCACAAGCCAACCAGCTGAATTTCTTTCTTTCTTTTTTTTTTTCTTTCTTCTGACAGAAGTTTCTCAAGCACCAAATAAAAGGTTAAAAAGTCTCACCTGGCTTAGAGTTGGAGGGTGTATTCCAGGAAGAGTCATTGAAGCATTTTTGCTACACTTCAGATAAAGGAAATATAAGTACTGGAGAAATACCTGGGTAGAAAAAAAAATGAACAACTTATCAGTGTGACAGAAAAACTTTTTCATTTGATAGAGTTGAAAGACTTTTAATAAGCTGCTCAGTTTAACTATATAAAACATGGCAGATCTCTGGGGTCATAAGGCCAATACAGTAAAACTGCTGTCGCCAACAAGGAACAATGCTGACTCTGAGCAGTGGGCGATGCACTCTGGAAAGAACAGGTGCAGAAGAGACAAGCTGTTTTACCATTCTTTATAGTGCCTACCCGGGAAGAACTCAGACGGCCCAACCTGGTCGTCAAGCTGGGCACAAAATAAAGAACAAACTCTATCACCCCAAAAGCACTCACAGAGGCTGGCACCTTCTCACCAGCATGAAAGTGTTCGCCAGCCTTTAGAATTCCCAAATACTTGATTAGAGCGAAGCCACAAAATTCAGAGCAGCAAGGCACTGTGCCGGCCCTGTGAGAACACTTACTGTGACGTGCTGGGCTGGGATGTCTTTCAAGTAAGGCAGGAGGAATATGTCACTATACGCTGAACGAAGAACTGCATTTCTACTTAGGACTCAAGGAAAATCTTAATTTCAACAAACAGGTTAATTCTGCAATTATGAATATTGCTCTTTCTAAATTGTAAATCACAATTACATACGTGAAGAGGAGAGCAGAGAGGAAAACACAGGAGAGAAAGGGAGAGAGGAAAGAGGTACAAGGGAAGGGCAGCATACAAGTCCTCCTGGCAACGGGTTCCTTCCCCACACAGCTGCAATGGCCGGGGCTGGGTCAGGCTCAAGTCGGGAGCATTGGATTCCGGTGAGTGAAAAGGCCAGAACTTTCACCCACTGGTTCCAAAGATGCATTAGCGGGGAGCGGAATCAGAAGCAGAGAAAACAGGACATGAACCAGCCATTAAATATGGGATGCCAGCATTGCAGGTGGCCACTTAGTTCAAGATATAACAATGCTAGCCCCTCTTCCTAATTTTACACAAAAATGTCACTTATCTTATACCATTCATTAAGACCATTTTTAGCACTTCATTATTATTAACTGGTATTTGTTACTATGACTTTAAAAGTTGACAGTTTCTATGTTAGTATAGCCGCTTTCTCTTTCTTTAAGATTTATTTGTTTTTATTGTAGCGTCAGATATACAGAGGAGGAGACAGAGGAAAATCTTCCAACAGATGATTCACTCCCCAAGTGACTGCAACGACTGGTGCTGTGCCAATCCGAAGCCAGGAGCGAGGAACTTCCTCCAGGTCTTCCACGTCCCAAGGCTTTGGGCCGTCCTCGACTGCTTTCCCAGGCCACAAGCAGAGAGCTGGATGGGAAGTGGAGTTGCTGGGATTAGAACTGGCGGCCATATGGGATCCTGGTGCATTCAAGGAAGGACTTCAGCCGCTAGGCCAACATGCTGGGCCCAGCTGTTTTCTTTTTTTAAGGTTTGCTTATTTACTTATATATTTTAAAGACAGCAAGAGAAATGGGAAAAAGATGTTTCACCCACTGTGTCACTCCTTAAATAGGTCCAACTGTGGGTCAGGCAGAAGCTAGAAGCCAGGAGCTCTTGTCTACGTCTCCCACATTGGTGGCAAGACCCCAAGTTCATGGTTCACCTTCTGTGACCTTCCATATGCATAGTGGCAGAGCCAGACAAGCTGGACAGGCAGGACTTGGGGCTCAGTGCAGTAGCCTAGTGGCTACAATCCTTGCCTTGCACGCACCAGAATCCCACAGGCATGCCGGTTCGTATCCCAGCTATTCCACTTCCCTTCCAGCTCCCTGCTTGTGGCCTAGGAAAGCAGATGAGAATGACCGAAAACCTTAGGACAATGTACCCACATGGGAGCTCTGGAAGAAGCTCCTGGTTCCTGGCTTTGGATTGGCTCAGTTCCAGCTGGCCATTGTAGCCACTTTGGACAGTGAGCCAGCGGATGGAAGATCTTTCTCCATCTCTCCTCTTCCCTGCAAATCTAAGTTTGCAATTAAAAAAGAAAAGTCATGTATTTCCTTAAGAGGCAGAGAGCTCCCAGGCACCAACACATTTCCCACATGCCCAAACTGGGCCCAAGCTCAGGCCCAAGCCGAGTCTTGAACAGAACCCAGGTATGTGGCTGATAGGAACTCAATTACGCACGCCATTACCACTGCCTTCCAGGGTTTGAATGAGCAGCTAGAATCACAATCAGAGCAGCAAAGCAGGCACTCTAATTTGGCACGCAGGTGTCACCAGCAGATTCTTAACTATTAGGGCGAATGCCCACTCTCTACTAGAGCTGAATTACAAAAACATGTTTGGAACCAGTTTTGTGGAGTGGTTGGTAGATTCGTCACCTGCCCACATTCCATATGGGTGCCAACTGGCTCAAGTCCCAGCTGATCTATTTCCAATCCAGTTCCCTCTTAATAACCTGGCAAAGCAGCAGAGATAGTCCAAATGTTTGGGTCTAGCCCAGCCCTGCTATTGTAGCCATTTGGGAATTGGCCCCCAAAATGAAAGAACTCGGACTATCCCCATGGCCCCTTGAGACTCCCCACTTTTGATCCAGTTCCCTGCTTATGGCCTGGGAAAGCAGCAGAAGATGGCCCAAGTCTTTGGGACCCTGCATCACATGGGAACCCCATAAGAAGCTCCTGGCTTTGAAGCAGCTTTTAGCCCTGGTTCTTGTGGCCGTTTGGCAAGTGAACCAGCAGATGGAATATCTTTTTGTCTGTCTCTCCTCTTTAAATCCGCCTAACAAAAATAATTAACAAACTGTTCCTTAATTATCACCAGGTATACAACCTAGGACGAGTCACTTTAACTCCAAGGATACAGAAGAGCTGCCCTCTGCGCTATCACGGGGCAGGCGGAAGTCTCCTGGACGGCGCCACGAGCCTTCTCACGGGAATCTGAATCGCAGCTGTGACAGCCGTCTGCCTCAGGACTGAACCCATTTTGCACAATTCCAGTTTGCTCTTCCATTTTCTCGTCTTGTACACCATCATTACAGTCAACAACTGATTCCATGTTGACATCTATTTTCCGAAGATCATCATCACCGATGCTACGATGTCAAGTGAAATAAAAAGATTAATTTTCTACTCAAAATTTTAGAAACGAAACAATATAATACATTAAAAAATGCAGTGAAGGAATAGATCATTAAATTATAAGTTACCTTAAGAAAACTTTTAAGCAAGTACAGGTGACTGATTCCGGAATGTCAGGGAACTGCTGCAGACAGAGTTGCAACATCTGAACATCTGCTTTTTCTAAGGCAATCTCCATTAAGCCTGGGCACAAACTGAGACCAAAACATGGAAGTCACCGTGAGATATCAAGAACAAAATCTTATACACGTTTTTAGAGCATGAAAATGAATACTTCAGGAACACCGGCCCACCTGTAGGAAAGCACGTGTGTTTGGACAAGCTGCAGCAGACAGTTCCGCGGATAGAACGCCGGCTCCTCTCTACATCTCGCCACAAGCCCCGCCACTACGTCCCCAATGATGGTACACAAGTCCGGCGTCTGCTTCACGGCTAACAATTTACGCAGTTCCAATTCAATGTGTTTTTCTGAGTCTTTCTGAAAGGACAAAATTAAAGAATTCAGCCTGTTAGAATTTAACTTAAAAAATACATATATACACACACACACACACACATATAAATTTACTATTTTTATTGGAAAGATAGAATCACAGAGAAAAAAACACAAAGGATCTTCTATCCACTGGCTCATGAGCCAAATGGCTGCAATGGCCAGAGCTGAGCTTATCAGGATCCAGGAGCCTCTACCAGGTCTCTTTGGCCATACGGTCCCAAGTCCTTTGGCATCTTTATTTTTTTTTTTTTAAAGATTTATTTTTATTATTTTTCATTGGAAAGGCGGATATACAGAGAGGAGAGACAGAGAGGAAGATCTTCCGTCCAATGATTCACTCCCCAAGTGAGCGCAACGGGCCAATACTATGCCGATCTGAAGCCAGGAGCCTCTTCCGGGTCTCCCACGCGGGTGCAGGTTCCCAAGGCTTTGGGCCATCCTCGACTGCTTTCCCGGGCCACAGGCAGAGAGCTGGAAGGGAAGCAGGGCTGCCAGGATCAGATCCGGCGCCCATATGGGATCCCAGGCGTGCAAGGCGAGGACCTTTAACCACTTGCGCCACCGCGCCGGACCCTGGCATCTTTTTTTAAAGGTCTACATATTTTTATTGCAAAGTCAAGACATACAGAGAGGAGGAGAGACAGTGAGGAAAATCTTTCATCTATTGATTCGCTCCCTAAGCAGCCACAACGGCCGGAGCTGCATGATCTGGAGCCAGGAGCCTCTTCGAGGTCTCCCACACAGGTGCAGGGTCCCAAGGCTTTGGGCTGTCCTCGACTGCTTTCCCAGGCCACAAGCAGGGAGCTGGATGGGAAGTGGGGCTGCCGGGATTAGAACTGGCTCTTATATGGGATCCTGGCGCATGCAAGGCGAGACTGTAACCACCAGGCCATCGCTCTGGGCCCTAAATCCTTACTTTTTATGTGCTGGGATTCCATATGGGTGCTAGTTCATGCCCCAGCTGCTCTACTTCCCATCCAGCTTCCTGCTTGTGGCCTGGAAATGTGATGAAGGGTAGCCCAAAGCCTTAAGATCCCGAGCTCCTGTGGGGAGATTTAGAAGCTCCTGGCTCCTGGTTCTGGATTGGCTCAGCTACAATTGTGATTCATTGGTGGAGTCAACCAGTGATGGAAGATCTTTCTCTCTGTCTCCTCTCTCCATAAAAATAAGTAAATCTTTGAAATATTAAAAAAAAAAGAAGGAAATAATAGTAAAAAAAAAAAAAACCCTTATGGTTTAGAAGTCAAAGCTTATCAGAAAACTAAATACTAACATATTCAATGTAAACCTGATTGAGGCACTAACAATGCCATGTCTGGACACGCGTCTCATGAGTGGTTTTAAAAAAAAAAGTGGGGTGGGGCCCGGCGGCATGGCCTAGCACCTAAAGTCCTCGCCTTGAACGCCCTGGGATCCCATATGGGCGCCGGTTCTAATCCAGGTGGCCCCGCTTCCCATCCAGCTCCCTGTTTGTGGCCTGGGAAAGCAGTTGAGGATGGCCCAAAGCCTTGGGACCCTGCACCTGTGTGGGAGACCCGGAAGAGGTTCCTGGTTCCCGGCTTCGGATTGGCGCAGTACCGTCCGTTGCAGTTGACTTGGAGAGTGAATCATCGGACGGAAGATCTTCCTCTCTGTCCTCTCAGTCTCTCCTCATCTCTGTGAATGTGACCTTGTAATATAAAAATGAATAAATCTTAAAAAAAAAAAAAAAAAGGGCCCGGCGCGGTGGCGCAAGTGGTTAAGTCCTTGCCTTGCACGCCCAAGATCCCATATGGGCACCGGTTCTATCCCCGGCAGCCCCGCTTCCCTTCCAGCTCCCTGCTTGTGGCCCGGGAAAGCAGTCGAGGACAGCCCAAGGCTTTGGGACCCTGCACCCACGTGGGAGTCCCGGAAGAGGCTCCTGGCTTCGGATTGGCATAGCATTGGCCGTTGCGCTCACTTGGGGAGTGAGTCATCGGACGGAAGATCTTCCTCTCTGTTTCTCCTCTCTGTATATCCGCCTTTCCAATAAAAAATAAATAAATAAATAGAAAAAAAAAAAAAAGTGGGGTGGGGATCCACCGCAATGGCCTAATGGCTAAAGTTCTCGCCTTGAAAATGCCAGGATCCCAAATTGGTGCCCGTTCTAATCCTGGAAGCTCCACTTCCCATCCAGCTCCCTGCCTGTGGCCCGGGAAAGTAGCTGAGGACGGCCCAAAGCCTTGGGACCTTGCACCCACATGGGAGACCTGGAGGAACTTCCTGGCTTTGGATTGCACAGCACTGGCTGTTGTGGTCACTTGGGATGTGAATCATCAGATGGATGATCTTCTTCTGTCTCTCCTCTCTGTATATCTGACTTTATAATATGAAATAAACAAATCTTACCAAAAACAGTATGTGTGGGGACCTGACATAATGGCCTAGTGGCCAAAATCCTCGTCTTGAATGTGCCAGCATCCCATTTGTGTGCTGGTTCTGATCTCGGCAGCTCTACTTTCCACCCAGCTCCTGCTCTGGCCTGAGAAAACAGTTGAAGACAGCCCAAAGTCTTGGGATCCTGCACGTGCATGGGAGACCCAGAAGAAGCTCCTGGCTCCTGGCTTTTGATCGGCACAGCACCGGCCAGCTATTGTGGTCTTCAGGAGAATGAAACATCGAATGGAAGGTCTTTCTCTTTGTATATCTGACTTTTCAAAAAAAAAAAAGAAAAAAAAGAATGGGGCGGGTGTTGTGGTTCAGCACATTAAGGCATTACTTGGGATACCCGCAAGTCACTGTGGTTTCAGTTCTGCCTATCATAAGACAGCTCCCGAACAGTCTCGGCAAGCAGTAGATCTCGGTTCAAGTGCTTCAGTTCTTGCCCTCCACTTGGGACACCTGAGTGGAGTTTCTGCCCACTGGTTTCTGCCTGCTCCAGTCCTGGACAGGGAGTGAACCAGCATTGGGAGATCTGTCTTCCTGCCTTTCAAGTGAATAAAGAAATCTAAAGAAGAATCAAACATGCCAAAAGTATTGGCCCATCTCCAGAGACCTTTAGACACAACAGCGCAGCTACAGCTGTAAGTACCCCAAGAAGAAGGCAAGGTAAGATGGATGAGATTTGTTTTCTCCACTTGGGTTTATTTTTTTACTCACCTTTATGGCTAACAAAAGCTGTGAGGATGCTGGAACCTCTGGCTTTAAACTCACTTCAGATTTTCTTCTCCTTAACTGGAATTAAGTAAGTCTATTAGGATCACAGACAACAGAAAAAGACCCAAAATGCACTTAGAACACTCCCAAAGAAATTACAATACTTTTGCTCTAATTTTTTATAAAAACTAAAACAAAAACAACAACAACAAAAAAGTTATAGAGAAAAGTGTATTTACTTTAACTTTGAAATATCTGAAACTAATTTAGGCTGTTGTTTTTAATATAAAATAAAAACTCTTTAATTTTTCATTGCAGATTGCAAACTGGTTTCTTTTACACTGGAGTTTTAATATCACATTCACATCCACAAAAACTAATACACTACAGGTGACATTTTTAGGCTCAAGAGTTTGAAGTTACTAAATTTAATCTCAAGCCACTCTGTCATACGGATTAAAGCTTTGAGGGTTGTATGGATACGAATCATTGTAATAACCCTATCCTTTTCTTTTGCACCGTCTGTACTAACGTTTCTCTTCATATACCTGAACTTACAATTCTCTTGGACTGCTCTGAGTTTGGAGATCCAAGTTCACATTCTTGAGATGTTTCCCAGTTTACAAAATGGGGTATGGGGTGAGTACCTAAGAAGACACACAAAAAAGATAAATTTATGTTTCGACCTATTAGCAGTTACCCAAGCAAACAATCAAAAGTCATTTACACATCATTAAGACAAGCTTTCAAGCCCAATAATTCTGACAAGCTTGGATCAGTAAATAATATTACAGCATCCAGCCACCCACCGAGGCCAGAGTGAAGGAAGGAGGGCAGACTGGCTGCTCTTGCCTGGGGTCCTCACCAACTGCCCCTCAGAACCCAGCGCAGCGGCCTGGCAGCCTGCAGCCGTGTCCGTAAACAGGGCTAATTCCAAGGCAGCGTCTCAGGACAAGGAGGTTTCAAGGTACCATGGTAACATGAAGAGCAGATTCCGCACAAGGAGGATGTGTGAGTCGACACATGAAATTGGGAGCTAGTAAAAAGGCTTGTGTTAATAAATATAAATGCCTACCTGGATCTTGACTGTGTTTGAGTTTCCCAAGAGCACCTGCTAACGATGACACTTCACATTTATACGGAATCACAGTTAGATATTTTCCATGGAGCATAAACAGACTTTCCCCATAATACCAGAGCTGGGGGGGGGGAAAAAAGTTATCAAAAATACAGACTTTTTTTCTTTTTCAAAATGACTCAATAAAGCTTTATTACCACAACTTAGTATATTAGCTATCTCAGTATATTTTACCTTTTCTTGTTTTATTGTTTTATACAGTTCCATAGGCTCTGGGATTTCTTGTCCCCCTACCCAGGTCCCCTCCCTTCCCCGTATTAATTTCTACTATAGTATTACAATGGGTGGTCCTTCTCAAAAGAATTTCACATGTACAATTTATTCATTGAAGCAGAGTCATACATCTTTTGTTTTCTGCTCAAGTTTGAATGAAGATTTATTTTATGGATTTTGGATCTCAGAAAACTTTGAAATAACAACTGGGGTTAGCATTTAGTACAGCTCTTAGGATGCTGCTTGGATTGCCCACACACCACGTTTGAGTCTTGGTCCAGTTTCCTGGCAGTGTGCACCCTGACCGATGATGACTCATGTGCTTGGGTCTCTGCTATTCACATGGGAGACCTGAAGCGAGCTGTTAGTCCAATCCCAATTTCGGACTGGTCCAGTGCTAGCTGGGTATTTGGGGAGTAAACCAGGAACTGGGAGATCTCTTTCTGTATCTCTGCCCTTTAATCCAGCTTCCCTGTTAGTGTGTCTGGGATAGCCCAGGTGCCTAGTCCCTACAACCCAATGGGAGACTCAGAAGCAGCTCCTGGGTCTTGGCTCCCACCTGCCATAGCCCTAGCCATTGTGTTCATTCTGGAGAGTGACTGAGCTTAAGGAACACCAATCTCTATCAAAACCCCCCCAGAAAGCTGGGTGGGAAGCAGAGTGGACCTGGATCCCAGTCTACTACAGGGTGGCAGCCTACTCCCCCGTGCCACAAGGTCCACCTCCACAGGACTGAACAGAGTTTCTAGACTGGTGGGACTACCCTGTTACAATTAGTTGTCCATGAATGAACTAGAAAAAACTATAACTGAGAAACCTAGTCTCTTTAGCTTTTATTCGAAGTGATTATATGTCACATCCTATTATTTCACTTACATTTTATTTGTATACGAATGCTCATCCACCATAGAGCTAATACTTGTTGAGCACTCAAGAATTATCCAACAGCCAAGAACCTTACTCAGGAACTTTAGTTTAGTCTGGTTATTTATTTATTTATTTTTTTATTGTTAAACTGTGCTTTTAAAAAAATTATTAATTACTTTGCATTATGTGACACAGTTTCACAGGCTCTAGATTCCCCCAACCCCTCCCCATACGGTGGATTCCTCCACCTTGTTGCAGTATTACAGTTCAAATTCAGTCAAGATTCTTTCACTATAAGCATATACCAAGCACAGAGTCCAGCATCTTATTGCCCAGATAAATTCAACGTTTTCTTGGGGAGACCATATCTGGTCTGAAGGTAGAGCTGGCAGAATACCATCCCGATTGATTAAAAGCCCTAATATAACATCAACAACAATTTACAACATTATGGAATTAATTGACATGGTATTGAGTAACCAATATGTTAAAAAATACAAGTTCTTAACCACATCCTGTGACTACTTCATTGGCATTTTAATTTTAGTTTATATACAACCAGCTTCTATACACCTTAAAATGGCTATAGGGTACTATCCAGCTGTCTTGTGTCTTAGTCTGGTTACGTTTTAGTTCCTTAAATTTCCACATATAATTTAAAGGTTGGTTTATTAGGAAAAGTAACACCCTTGACGTATACTGAAAATTAAAAAAGAAACCAAAACAAAGTAAAATAAAATAAAAATAAAATTTGGCCTGGCGGGGTGGCCTAGTGGCTTAAGGTCCTTGCCTCAAATGCACTGGGATCCCGTATGTGTGCCGGTTCTAATCCCGGCAGCACCACTTCCTCTCTATCTCTCCTCCTCTCTGCATATCTGACTTTGTAATAAAAATAAAATAAATTTTTTCTTAAAAAGAACTAAAATTAAGTTGTTTTATTAATTAACTAATTGTTCTCCTTCCTTGATTTAAACCTAGTTACAAATTAGTCTTTTGAAAGAAATAAACATATGGAAACTATTAAAGTGACAACGAATTAAATAAAACCTTAAAGGCAAATATGATTCTTCAATAAAATACTATCAGAATATTTGTATGAAGAAATCTCTTTATTATAATTACTATTTATTATTTACTAAATATGAATAAGTGAACTTGAGTAAGTCCTCAAGTAAAAAAGCTTACTTGACCACTGGTTCCCTGTGGCAACTCTTTGGAAGTCTGCAGTGTTTGAAACTTGATGTTCCATATACACAGACATTCTATAAAATAAGACACAGCAATTCAGAAACAGTTTCAAGCAGACATGATATTTCAAAGTGTGGGTGAGGAGTCACAGGCAAATATATAAGTTTCACTTTATGAAACATAAAGATGAATCCTGAAGCCAGTGACTGCCACGGGAATTTGAAGAGCTGACAGCTCAGGAAAGAAGGGGAGCAGGAAGCGGAGTTCTGAGCGAGGTCCTAATGCTTGGTTATAAGTCAGATTTTTTTTAATTTAAAATGAAATTTAAATTTTTTTTCCATGATGCAGTTTTATAGGTACAGGTATCATCTCCTCTTCCTCTCTCCTCATCCTCCCCTCCCAGCTTTTGTCCCACGTTATCACAATAGTAGAGTCCCTTAGTACAAGTTACAGGCTTAACTTTCTGGTACTTAAATAAATGTATCATGACATGGTAATGAAAAGGAATGACAGGAAAAGGAAGAAAACCTAGTATCAGATGGCTTCATTAATGAATTCTACCAACAAATTAAAACACTAACACCAAAACTTCTCAAACTCTTTCAAAATTTAATAGCGGGAACAAATTTAATAGCGGGAACATTTCCTATTTTATTTACTGAGGTACATATTATCATGATACCAAAGCAGACAGACATCACCAAAATAAACCAAAAAATAATTCCAATATTTCTTATAAGGACAGATGCAAAAAATTCTCAGTGTCAAGCTAAAACCAATAGTGTGATCATGTGGCTCAAACTAAGAAAGATCTAACAGGGAGCCGACTGCAGTGGCCTAGTGGCTAAAGTCCTTGCCTTAAACGTGCCAGGATCCCATACTGGTGCTGGTTCTAATCCCGGCAGCCCTGCTTCCCATCCAGCTCCCTGCCTGTGGCCTGGGAGGGCAGTGGAGGCCAGCCCAAAGCCTTGGGACCCTGCAACCTCATGTGAGACCCGGAAGAGCTCCTGGCTCCTGGCTTTGGATCAGCACAGCACTGGCCATTGCAGTCACTTGGGGTGTGAATCAATGGATGGAAGAATCAGGCTTGACCGCAACACCCATCGGTTCACTTGGAAGACAGGTCTGAAACAGAACTGACCCAGAGCAATTGCAAGCACCAGCATAGGCATAAACTGGGGCGACGGACTGTGCCGGACCCTCTACTGGAATTCACACACAAGAATTAGGTCTGGGATCATCTCAGAAGAAATTTCTTTGGGGATCCCTCCAACTGAACTACTGATCTCAGAATCCCAATCATGAGAAGTGCAGCTTCCATGGTCTGACCATGCAGTGCCAGTGTCAAAGCTGAGCCTCCTTAGAGGCTCAAATGGAACAGCGGAAAGCATATCCAAGTGCACATGGAGGAAATGGCGGTCCATTGGAGCCTGCAGAGGACACCTGGCACCACAACAGAGGACGGAGGACAGAACAAATAGATCATCTGCCCTGGTCACGTTTTGGCAGTGAAGATATGGGCAAACGGAGACCCTAAGGTGGACTATGTCAGCCTGTTGATTCTAGAGAGATTTCATCGTGCCTGGAATGACAAGACTGGCAGCAATTCAGAACTGTTGAGCTATCGAAACCACTTGAACATTGCCCTTGGAGGATGCCCCATGTCTGGGACCCTGGGACGGGGTTGGAGGTTGCGTAGAGCTTCTCCCTTTATCTCCCTCCTTACCCCGGATACACACACACAAAAATGTGGAAACAATGGTCTTACCCACTTTCCTGTAGCCCTTGACCCTCTGTGCCCTAATCAACTACATAAAGGTTATCAAAATAAGAGAAAAAGAGAGAGAGAGGAAAAAAAAGAAAACTTTTATAGGATAGTATATCAGATCTATACAACGAAGAGGGTACTGAAGAGGACACAACAAATTATTACCTCAACTTATACAAAACGATGACGACAACAACGAAACTGTAGACTAAATGTCTTTCCCTAGAAAATTCTAACTGTGATTACTAGATTTTGTTACAGGTGGGTAAAATAGGAATATGGAAGAGGGGGAACTGGGGTTGACAGCTACAGGGCATGGTAAAGCTACTGTGAGCCAGAACTACAAGTGGTAAGGTACATGAGAGCACATTTGCTTGGTTAAATTCTAGCTCCACAACTTACTTATCACTTCAGCATCCTAATATGTGAAACATTAGATGAAAAAACTCTACCGTAGCACAGTTGTTTCAGCACATTAATATCTTAATAACAGGGAGGACGGAGGATGGCATTTTGATGTAGTGAGCCAGTCTACAATGCCAGCACCCCATATGCGTGCTGTGGCACTGTCTTGGTTGTTCACGCATGGGAAGGCAGCCAAACATGGCACAAATGACTGGACCACTGCTGCCCCTGTGAGGGACCCAGATGTTCTTGCTGGTTTTGGCCTGGCTCACTCTCAGTCTCGAAAGCCATTTGGGGAGAAACTGAAAATGGAAGATCTTTCTTCCTCTGTCACTAACCTTGCTTTTTTTAAAAAAAGATTTATTTATTTATTGGAAAGTCAGATATACGGACAGGAGAGAGAGAGGAAGATCTTCCGTCCGATGATTCACTCCTCAAGTGATTGCAATGGCTGGTGCCACGCTGATCCAAAGCCAGGAACCAGGAACTTCTTCCGGGTATCCCATGTGGGTGCAGGGTCCCAAAGCATTGGGCCGTCTTTGACTGCTTTCCCAGGCCACAGGCAGGGAGCTGGTTGGGAAGTGGAGCTGCCGGGATTAGAACTGGCTCTTATGTGGGATCCTGGCACATTCAAGGCGAGGACTTTAGCCACTAGGCCACGCCACTGGGCCCTAACCTTGCTTTGAAAGTAAGAAAATAAATCTTAAAAAAATACATGTTCATGATAGAAAAAAAAATTGGCAGTGGGTAGGAGCTGGTGATTGAGAAATTGGGGTGATGAGAATACTGCTCCCAAGTCAGAGACCAGAAACATACTCATAGTTCAGGCAGTCTAAATCCTGCACATTTCCACGTTCTGATCCAGTGTCAATAATTCTCTACTAGATAGATTACAGTTTTTTACCTTTTCTTTCTTTTCCTGTGAACAAACTTTCCCTATTTTTTTCTTTTTACCATTTGTTTGTTTAGACCATTATAGTCATGAGCAAGGACGTGATATCAAGAGCTATTTGAGAAACATTAGTCAAAAAAATTATTCATATTAAAAGCATTCAGAAAGTATCAGAAAGCTATAAAATGACTTGAGTATGGTGACAGAACAAATTAGGGTAGTAGCAAAGAAACGAAGCAGAAGTGGAACACTCGCAGGTACCCTCCGAAGGGAGCATGCAGATTTCCCAGCTGGCAGGATTCAGTTACCTTTAGAAGCCGGGATTGGGGGCCCCAGGACTGCCACATGATTCTGATCCAAAACGGTGAGGGCAACTTCTTTTTGAGAACTGCCAGACACAACAGTTTTGAGCAACAATGACCTAACCACCTTCTGATTCTTGTCTGTGTCACTTGGATACACTGGAATCAGGCTTTCATATATACACCCGTCAGAGCCTGTTGAAAACAAGTATTTGTCATTCTCAATTGGATAAAAGACTGCAATAATTACAGATCAATACCGAAGGCTTTCATGTTGCTACCAGTGATAAAGGTTCCAACTGTAATAATAAACTTCTCTTAAAGACTCAAAATAGGATGACAATTATTACTTTTTCTTAATTTAAAATTTCATTTTTAATGCTGTTTACACAGCTGAAAGGGATATACACCAATATGGGGCTCTGATTAGGGTGGGAAGGGTTGAGGGAGGTATGGAGGAAGGCGGGTGGGACAAACATTTCTTTTTTTTCTCCTGTGTCCGCTCGAGGTGGAAGGGTAGGAGGCTGCTCCTTGCTGTCAAACTACATTAGCACCCGGAGATGGAGGACAGCATTTGATGTCTTAAAATCCCGATGTGGAGAAGGGTGCTCTGAGGTATTACTTAAGTTGTATTGATAGTTTTGAGACATTTTTGGCTTTGTGGTATCAAGATTGCACAAATCTACTGGCTGGACTAATACTGTTATTTTTGGGCCCAGCAAGATAGTGTAGTGGTTGACGTTCTCGCCTTGAACACACTGGGATCCCAGTGGGTTCTAATCCCAGCAGCCCTGCTTCCCATCCAGCTCCCTGACTGTGGCCTGGGAAAGTAGTCGAGGACGGCCCAAAGCGTTGAGACCCTGCACCCGCGTGGGAGACCCAGAAGAAGCACCTGGCTCCTGGCTTCGGATTGGCTCAGCACCAGCCATCGTGGTCACTTGGGGAGTGAAGATCTTACTCTGTCTCTCCTCCTCTCTGTATATCTGCCTTTCCAATAAAAATAAAATAAATCTTTAAAAAAATTAATTTATTTTTACTTTAAAGAGAGAGATCTATCATCTGTTGTTTCACTCCCCAGATGGCCACAATAGTCGGAGCTGCGTTGGTCTGAAGCCAGGAAACAGGAATTTTTTACCCCATGAGGGTAGAGGCCCAACACCTTGGGCCATCCTCTGCTGCTCTCCCAGGTCATTAGCAGGGAGCTGGACCCGAAGTGGAGCAGCCAGGACTGCTAGAATTAGCATCCATAGGAAATACCCAGGATGTAGGCAGAGAATTAGCATGTTATGGCATAACATCAGCCCTGAGCACTATTTTTAATAAAAATCTCAGCAATATATACCTTGATAAATAAAAAACAAAAACTATAAGTATTTTGAACAGCTGGAAGGTATATAGGCAGAGATTGCCCCAAGGCCTTGAGCCCCAGAAGCAGCTCCTGGCTCCCACCTTTGGATTGGGCCAGTTCTGGCTGTAGCGTCCATTTGGGTAGTAAACCAATGGATGGAAGACTTTCTGTGTCTGCCTCTCTGTAATAAATAAATCTCTCAAATAAATAAATCTTCAATCTAGTTACTAAAAGGATCTATTCCTTTTGGTCTTGGGGTGAGGGTTGTGGCATAGCAACTTAAGCTGCTATCTGCAAAGCCAGCATTCCATAATGCAGTTCAAGTCTCAGCTGTTTCACTTTCTAACTTCTGTACCAATGTGCCCCCAAAAGCAGTAGATAATGACCCAAGTACTTGGGGCCTTGCCACCTACACAGGAGACTTGCACATTATTCTAGGCTCCTGCTTTGGGACTGGCCTTGTCTGGCATATTGTAGCCATTTAGGAACTCAACTAGTGAATGGAAGAGCTGGCTCTTCCTTTCAAGTAAATAAATAAATCTTTAAATACACACACAATCCTACAATAGTTCTCTATTTATAATCATTGGAAGCTTAAAAGGTTCAGCATGCTAGCTCCCTAACCGTAACTATACCTCCCATCTCCAGTGCTACATCCCATACGGATGCTGGTTTGTGTCTTGGCTGCTTCATTTCCCATCCAGTTCTCTGTATATAACCTGGAAAGCAGGGGAGAATGGCCCAAAGCCTTGGGAGCCTTGGAACCCTGCACCTGGGAAACATGGAAGAAGTTTCTCACTTTAGAACAACTCAGGTTCTGAAAGACTCAGCTCTGGTCATTGTGGCCACTTGAGGAGTGAACCAGCAGATGAAGTTCTGTCTTTCCTTCTCTCTCTGTAAATATGCCTTTCCAATAAAAATAAATAAATCTAAATCTAAATCATCTACTGCCTTCCCAGGACATAAGCAGGGAGCTGTATGGGAAGTGTAGTAGCCAAGACACAAACCAGCTCCCATGTTGTACATATTGTACACACCCGGCGTGTGTAGGGTGAGGATACAGCCACTGAGCCATTGTAACAGGCCCCAAATAAATAAAGCTTAAAAATACTTACTTAATGACATCAAATAGATGAATTTCCGATCCACAGATGCAGTGAAATTTTTTATAATGCTTTTTTCTTCTCCAAGTAAAAGCGTGTATTTGCTTAAGGTACATGAGTTCAACATTTGTACATAAGCAAAGTAATTCCCATGCTGCAAAAAAGGGGAAGCTATTTATAAATCTTCCTATTTCAACCAAACATATTTAATATGATAAACCCAGAAATTGTAGTCCTATTCTAAATAACTGAGTATTTAAAACAAAACAAAACTGTTTCAGGGGCCAGCATTGTGGCACAGTGGCTTAAGTCTTAGCCTGAAACGCAGGTGTCTAGGTTGGTTTGGGCCAGTGCCCTTCTAACACAAGGCGGTGGAGGATGGCCAGAGTTGATAAGCCCCTGCCAGCCACTCGGGAGACCTGCATGGATTTTTGGCCTTGGCCTGGCCTGGTCAGCCCACCATGGCCATTTTGGGGAGTCACACAGTAGACAGAAGATCCTTCCCCTTTTCAAACACACAAACCAAACCTTTAAAAAGATGTAATTTCTTGTTCAACTGAGTCTAAAATGTTTCTAAAAATGTCTGACACAGACACAGAAAGAATTATAACCAAGAGTATTTTAAAAAGACAAAATCATTGAAAAACCCCAATAAAACACTAAAGTCTCATTTTGGTTTTAATGGGCCAGAAATTGAAGGAATTGAAGATGTCACTTACTTTTTCAGTAATAAAAACTAAAACAGGATGCTTAAATACCATGAACAACTTGGTCCACCTAAAAAAAAAATTACAAAATGAAAATTCACAATTGAAATACAGTATCAACTAATATTCCAAGTATCTTTTATTAAATAATTGCTTTTCTTTGACTGTAGTTTCCACAGGCAGACCTGGGGAGGTAGTCAGCCAACCAATCAGGAAACATGAAGAAACGATGCACTCAAGGGAAGTGGAGTCATGGAGTGGCCTTCTATCACTTGGTTGAGGCATCTGCAGCTCTACTGCAGAACCTGGGAGAGCAGAGGTCTCAAGGCACGACCATGAGCTCCCTAACAGGCCACACTCTTCTCCAGGGCAGAGGATGGATGCTGCATCCATCCAGCCCTGACTAGGGCTGCACCAGAAGTCTCCTTTGGTCAGTGATAAGAGATGGTTTTCATGGGTCTCTGCCTGAGGTACCAAAATCCCACATGGATGGCATGTCCCAGTGGCTCCCCCTCCCAGCCTGCTCTCTGCCAATGAGCCTGGGAAAGCAGTGGAGGATGGCTCCAGTCCTTGGGCATGACATGGGAGACCTGGAAGAACCTGCAGGCTCCTGGCACAGGAGAGGGTCAGGTCTGGTCACCGTGCTGCGTGGGGAATGAACCAGGGATAGATCTCCGCCTCTCTGTAATCAGCCTTACAAATAAGGTTAGGTTCCTGATGTGCAAAATCAACGCTTCTGAGCATGGCAAAGAATGAAAGAAACAATGAACAGGGCATTTTCATTTTAACACAATTTGAACTTACTTAATTACTTCCTCATCCGAGATTACAGTTTCAATTTTCTGCTGGGGCTCTGCCAGCAAGGCTTCTAAACGACGCACTGCGCCTTTCCTGAACAACACTACAGGCTCCGTCCCTTGTATTGAGTGTATCCTGTACACCTCAGCTGACAGCTGGAAGAACACAAGAATATTTACAATTTTCAACAGTTCATTGTCATTAGAAGGACTTTTACTGAAAGTTGATTCTTTCCAAGGAACTGAATTATCTTCATTTTGATGTAATTTTGTTTGTATAGCTATGCATAAAACTAAGATCAACTTGGGCCCGGCACGGTGGTCTAGCGACTAAAGTCCTCGCCTTGAATGTGCCAGGATCCCATATGAATCATATGGGCGCTGGTTCTAATCCTGGCTGCTCCACTTCCCATCCAGCTCCCTGCTTGTGGCCTGGGAAAGCAGCTGAGGACGGCCCGAAGCTTTGGAACCCTGCACCCGTGTGTGGGAGACCTGGAGGAGGTTCCTGGTTCCTGGCTTTGGATCGGCACGGCACTGGCCATTGTGGTCACTTGGAGAGTGAATCATCAAACAGAAGATTTTCCTCTCTGTCTCTCCTCCTCTCTATATATTTCTGATAAAAATAAATAAATCTTAAAAAAAAAAGAAAAACTAAGATCAACTCTACATAATGCAAAATATACGCTGAACTCTAACTTATGACCTTTTCTATTTTTTTAAAGACTTATTTATTCATAAGGCAGAGAGAAAGGGAAAATTTCCATTTAGCTCCTCAGTACTCAAAATGTCATAAAGCCAGGGCTTGACTTGGCCAAAGCAAGGAGCCTAAAACTGCATCCTGGTCCCCACCTGAGTGGCTCAAAGACTTGGGCCATCTTTGCCTGTGTGTCCCAGGCACGTCATCAGGGAGATGGGCAAGAAGCAGAGGAACCAGAACCTCAACTGGTACTTGGTGGGAGCTAAGAAGGTAACAGATAGCAGCTTTACCCGCTGCAGCACAGTGCCTGACCTAACTTCTCAACTGCTCTTCGCCTCATCTGATCTCTTTCCTTGCTAACCAGTTTCATTTAATGGCATAAGCTTTCCCAGCTTATCTGTTAGGAACACTGAAAGATAGTTAGCACCCAGCTCTCTCTTAAGACAGGATGGGGAGAAGTACAAGGAAATGCATGACTACACCTGCGGGGTGTTAAAGACCACAACTCCACAGCAAGTGCAGGAAGAGTTGACGCCATATGTCGAGGAAAAACACACACACACACACACACACTCCTCTGAGTAAAAGCACTGCGTCACAGCAAGATAAACCAAAGCACTGGAACCAGGGCAGAATCATCTGCATCCTAACCTGAGAAAGTCCTCTTGCGGGCACTTCTCAAATGTACCAGTAGAGTTGAGTTAGGCATTCAGAAGTGGGAGGAACCTACGTGACTAACATAGTTTGACAGCCTCCTTTTATAGGTAAGAGAAAGTTACCACACTTTAGCTCACTGACAGAAGACACAGAGCTAGTCCTGGTTCTTTTTCCTTTTTTATTTTTTCTTTTAAAGATTTATTTATTGTATCAGAAAGGCAGATCAGATTTGTGGACAGAAGTAGAGACAGAGAGAAAGATCTTTCATGTGCTGGTTCACCCCAAATGGCTGCAACGGCTGGAGCTGAGTCAATCCAAAGCCAGGAGCCAGGGGCTTCTTGGTCTCCCACACGGCTGTAGGGTCCCAAGGCTTTGGGCCGTCCTTGACTGCTTTCCCAGGCCATAATAAGAGACCTGGATGTGATCTGGAGCAACGGGGACACAAACCAGTGCCCATATGGCATCCTGGCACTTGCAACTTGAGTATTTAGCTATTGAGCCATTGTGCCAGGCTTGCCACGATTCTTTTTCCACTACAATGCATACCACTCTGAGAAACAGCCAGTGAAAAAACAATAAACAAGAAGAAAAACAAACAAAAATGGCCAGTGTTGTTGTACAGTGGCTTAAGCTGTCATTCAACGATTTCTGCATTTGCCAGGTAAGAGCCCTACCAATTCTACTTGCTGTTAATACATCTTAAGAAGACAGATGTGAGATCCTGCCTTTGAGCTGGTACAGTCTGGGATGCTATAACCATTTGGGGACTTAACTGCTCTTTGTCACTCTACCTTTCAAATAAATATCACAAAACTTGTAAGATGCATCGTACCTCTTCTAAGAAAGTGCACAGGAAATTTACTTACTCTCCCAGAAACACAAACTCAAGGGAACAAATAGAAATTAATTTTCCATGAATTCTTTCTTTGAACAAAGGGCACAGGAAGCTCACTTATTCTCACAAGGCACACTTCAAAAAACCCAACTCTTTGGAAGTAAGGGTAAATTGATCATTCCTGGATCACTTGAATACTTAAATTTCCAGGTTGGAAGGTCTATATTTTCTAACTCATGCTCACAGTAAGCTGAATCACACGTTACACTGTGACTGGTTCTGCTTCACTCAACACCTAAATACACGTGCAGAGAAATGCCAAGTACTCACAGTCGCTTTAAACACTTTATCCAGGTTGACATCTTCGTTATTCCATATTCTCAAAACCTTAAATAAAAAACACACAAGTCAGAAAACATTCCATTCTGCATACACATGTAACAGATAAGCCGTTACTTGGTTTGTGCTGTATATACGACAGATAATGTCTTAAAGCTCACCTTATTATCATGTACAACAATATACTCTCCAGTCTGAAAGCTGCACACAGCTGGACACGTTATAATCTGCCCTTGTTTCACGGACCAGCTCCCCAGTGGTTTCTGATCAGAAACCTGGTGGAAATGAGGCACTACAGTCAGATTTACAAACAAGACCGAATCCATCTGCATTAAAACAAACAAGTAGTCACACTCAAATACTGGAGATTCCTTTCCCAGGAGGTACCTAACCCAGGCAAATGATGGAGACAGAAGGAGGGGCGGTTGCCAGGGGGTGCTGATAGGAATGGGGAGTTCTTCCGGTGAATACTGAAATTCAGTTTTGCGAGATGAGCCGTCCTAGAGATGGACAGAGACCATAGTAGCCATGGACATGCACTCCACAGCTCCCTTAATTTCATTATGTATCCTTTACCACAATTAAAAATTTGAAAAGTTAAAGAGTAGCGAATATATGCACATGCAGGTGAAACTTAAGTTTCGAATATGAAGATAATTAGTAGTTAACTCTTTGCGCGTTAGGCTGAAACGGGGACACAGACTTCCGGGGACATCTTTCCAAAACTCACGGCGTGAACTTTTTGGAGATCATTCCCTCGGAATCAAGATTCCACTCGCAGCAAATCATGTCAGGTGTCAACTCCCGAAAAAGCGCCCCCTCCCCACCAAAATTCACTCCCCGCCTTCCCAAGGTGAAGGGGACCAAGCACCCCGACGCCGGCACAAACCGCTGCTCCCTCCTCTGCGGCAATGCCTTCTGCCGCCCAGCCACCTCCGTCCCACCCTTGTGCGGACACGGCGCGGGAGACGCGGCGCGGAGCCGGGTTCCCACGTGCCCCAAACCCGGCTCCGCGTCAGGGAGCCCTAACCTTATAATGGACGACGGTCCTGCCGCTGTCCGTCACCAGAAACTGGTCCGCTTTGTCTGTCGGCTCCACGCCTAGCAGTCCGTCCGGCCCGGCGCCCAGGACTACCGTGGACAGCATGATTTCCTCGTCCAGAGCTGCCATTTCGGTCGCACCTAAAGACGACAGCGTACTCTTCCCGGCAGGCCGCGCGGTTTCCTCTCGCGAGAACGCTGAGCTGGGACGAGCACGCCGCGCACGAGACCGCCTCGCTCGCGGTGCGACCTCTGGTGGGCCCGAGGGGCGCGCGGAGAGCCAGAGCCGCCCGGTGGGCGGGGCCCGAGGATGGCGTCAGGACCCCGCCTCCCGCGGCCACGCCTCCCCGAGTCCCGGATGTGCTCCGGGCGGAGTTCAGGCTTGCGCGTTGCACAGCAGCAGCTACCGGACCGTCGCAAGGGGCTGACTGAAAAAAAACTTTGTGATGTCTCTAGGAATTCGTATTCCACCTTCGTGGAACCACGTGCCAAAGAAAAAGGCTTTTTTTTTTTAAAAAAAGATAAAACTGCAGCTATAACCTCCTTCGGGAGGTGCCTGCGCCGCCTCAGGCTCGCCCAGTGCCTGCTCACCGCCTGCGGGAACTCTCAGCTTCTCAGAGCTTCTTGACGGTGACGTTGAAGCGACAGGTTCCTCTTGAACCCTTTTGGGCAAGACCTTGTTTTTCTAACATAAACTTGGAGGTTTCAGTCTATAATGTGGGGGTAGAAAAAGATCAATTGTGCGTGTTGGGAGGGCGAAACCATCCTGCTGGGCCACGTGAAAGGCGTGTACCGCGTGGCATCAAATACCTCCTGGGGCCCTGTGTCTAGTTTATGTTGAAACAAGAGAGACTGTTCAGCGACTGTGAAGGAATCAAATACAGGTGGAAAGAAGTTTTTAAAAAGACTTAATTTGAAAGACACAGCTGCACAAGCCCACTGGTTGGGCTACAACTCGGTTCCGGGTCTCCCACATGCACGCCACGGTTCCTGGCACCTGGACCATCGTCTGCTGCTTTTCCCAGGTTAGCGTGGAGCTAGGCGGCAAGTGGACGGGCTGGGATTTGAACAGGTGACAGTTCTACATCTGCAGGAAATTCTTAGACTCTTAAGAAGCTTTTGAGTTGTCGGCTTGGCCTAGCGGCTAAAGTCCTCACCTTGAACGCCCTGGGATCCCATATGGGCACCGGTTCTAATCCTGGCAGCCCCACTTCCCATCCAGCTCCCTGCCTGTGGCCTGGGAAAGCAGTGGAGGACGGCCCAAAACCTTGGGACCCTGCACCTGTGTGGGAGACCTGGAGGAAGTTTCTGGTTTCTGGCTTCGAATTGGCTCAACTCTGGTTGTTGCGGTCATTTGGGGAGTGAATCATCGGAGGGAAGATTTTCCTCTCTGTATATTTCACTTTCCAATAAAAATAAATAAATCTTGGGCCTGGCGGCGTGGCTTAGTGGTTAAAGTCCTCGCCTTGAACGCGCCCAAGATCCCATATGGGCACCGGTTCTAATCCCAGCAGCTCCACTTCCCATCCAGCTTCCTGCTTGTGGCCTGGGAAAGCAGTTGAGGACGGCCAAGGCTTGGACCTGCACCTTGTGCTGATCACAGAAGTTCCTGCTCCTGGCTCGGATTGGCACAGCACGGCCGTGCACTCACTTGGGAGTGATCATCGGACGGAAGATCTTCCTCTCTATCTCTCTTCCTCTCTGCATATCTGACTTTGTAATAAAAATAAATAAATCTTTTTTTAAAATAAAGAAATCTTTAAAAATTCTGGTGGCTGCTATGAATTGGAAAAACTTCCGATTCCTATTTTTGTAAATTTTTTTTGAAGATTTATTTATTTACTTATTTATTTATTGCCGATTTGAAGCCAGGATCCAGGAACTTCTTCTGGATCTCCCACACGGGTGCAGGGTCCCAAAGCTTTGGGCTGTCCTCAACTGCTTTCCCAGGCCACAAGCAGGGAGCTGGATGGGAAGTGGAGCTGCCGGGATTAGAACTGGTGCCCATATGGGATCTTGGGCGAGGACTTAAGCCACTAAGCCACGTCGCCGGGCCTGACTCCTATTTTTAACCCTAGAAAGAATAATGTGACTGGAGATCAACATCATTTTTAAGGAGTTATAGATTTAAATGCACACATAGATTTCCCATCTCATTTGTCATATTCACCTATGTTCTCAGAGTTCCCAGCACTAATTTCATAAGCAGTTAGTAAAAATAGGCTTTCAATCGGATTGATGAAGTCACATCTTTGTGTTCACTGCACCAGTGTTGTACCTGAGCCATACAGGGAGTTTAATACACATTCATTGCACAGGTCAAGCGTCATCTCATGCTTATGTTGCTAGTGTTATAATGAATGGAATGTTGACTTGATCTATTCGTGTGAAAAAGTCTGTCTTACTGGTTAGAATGCTGGCACTGCACTTGTGCGTTAGTCTGTACAATTGAGTCTAAGTTCGGTAAAGTATTACAGGAGATTGCAATTCTTTCTGGAAAGAGCACCAGCTGCAACATGGGAACTGGAAGGCTTCTGTAAGCTAGCTGGGTCAAAGCGTTCCACTTGCGGCATGTTTCCATCAAGGTCAATGAGCAAGAGCAGGGCTCTCTGGTTACGTGTTTGAAGGTTAGTCTCTAAACGCAGCTGGGACCCTGCACATTTTCCTGCGTGCTCTGCACGTTCTATCTGGCTGGTTTGTCATGTTTGTGCTTCTTGGCTGCCTAGCAGTGAGGACCAAAGAGGATATCACCTTCACAGTCAAGCCCCAAAATAGAAGCAGGTGATAAATACGCAATGACTAATCTTATAGTGGGAGAAGAAACGATACATAATCCTATTCAAAAAGGAGGATATCACCTGTCCGGGATTTGTCACAGACAGGTGCCAGGTGGTGATGTTAGCATTGTATGAGGGGGGTGTACTAGATGCTTTGCCAAAGGAATACTTGCAGAAGGACGTTTTGCAAAGAAAGTAGATATGTGATGCCACCAGATCTCCGTTTTTATACAAATGTGATGTTTCTTCAATGAGTTCCAGAATGATCTGAGATCTATTTTCCAATTTGAGAATTTCAAAACACCTTGGAAGTTAATGTTCAGATCACAGAAGGATACAGGCAGGTGCCTCTGAAGATGGTTTCTCCAAGGCAGAAGCCGAGAACAGAAGAATCTAAGGGCCTTTGCTGGACATTTATATGGAACACACCCAGCCTCACAACCTCCTTAGTACCTGGGGATGGGGAACGGCTACCCAGCATCATCCCAGGGTTCTCCATTTGGCACATGCTCTGAGCGTTCTGCTCAAGTGGGTCTGATGATTCTAAAGTGCTGTCAATTTTGCCGCTCCAAGGATGAAAAAATCCTTCCAAGGTGCATTGCTTGACGTGGTGCACCTTAGAGTCTCCATTCTCTCAGATACTTGCTGTTAATGCTTGGCTGGGTTAGTTTGTTCTGTCCTGCTTCCTTTGCTTTGGTACCAGATGTCCTCCCCAGGTCCTATGGATTGCCGTATCCTCCATATACATCTGGGTATGCATCAACTGCTCCATCTGAGTCACTGAGGAGGCTCAGTTCTGACACATGTACCCCATGGTCAAACCACAGAAACTACAAGTCTCCCTATAGCTGGAGTTCTGAGTTCAGTACAGTTGTGAGGGATCCCCAAAGAAACCATGCCTGAGGCAATCCCAGTGTGTCCTTGTAGTATGGGGTGGCTCAGCCTATCACCCACATTAGCCTGTGCATACACTGGTAGCTCCAACTGATGCATTTATTCGGCCTCCAGCCATGTCTCTTACGTAAACCAATGGATACTGTGGCCCAGCCCAACCCTGCTCACCACACACTTGGCCCTTACATTCACCAGCGGGAACTGCAGCCTAGTCAGACTCCCAATGACCCACTCCCAGGTTGGGTTCCTGTGCTTGCCATTATATGCAGCAGACTGGCCCAGTCTATCCTGCACCTCATTCAGCTCTTGTACATATCAATGGGTGTTGAAGCCTAGCTCAACCTAGCCGACCCCACCATCAAGCCCACACTCATGCCAGCAGGTGCTACTGCCTGTCTAGCCAGGCCGGCCCCCTTCCCTGGTTCTCATGCTCACCAGTGGGAGTTATAGCTCATTAGAGAGGTGCTCACAGTTACCCTCCTAGACCCACTCCCACTTCCAGATCTTGTACTCTGCAGTTTTGTCCAGCCTTGGTTCTTGTGCTCACCTGCAGGGAGTGTATTCTGACAGAGGAGTTCCCCAAGCTCCGCCATCAGGTCTCATCCTGTGGCAGATCTCACATATACTGGTGGGTCCTTGACCCTGACTGAGTTCACTTCCTGTCCTGACAGGAACAGTGGCCCTGCCCAACTTGCACACACCCATTTCCGTTTTTACTGCTGGGTATTACAGTCCAGCCATACCTGGTCCATGATCACACAGATTTCACGAAGTTCAGTGGGACCCAAGACCTAGCCCAGTCTGTCGTTCATTCACCCTGACTCTCACAAACACCAGTAGGTGCTGGTGTCTAGCCCAGTCTGGCACATCCCAGATCCAGTTTACATCCATGCCAAGGGACACCACAGTCATGTCCAGTCCAGATCACCACAACACCCATTCTGGCTCTTGTGCTCACCAGTGGGAACCACAACCCAGACAGTGTGTCCCCTTAGCTCCCCAAGCAGGCCTGTTCTCAGCCACAGATCTTGTGCATGCCAGTGGTTGTTCTGACCCAGCTTGGCATAACCCATCCTGTCTTGATCTTTGCCACTGGATGCTATAGCCTGTCCTGTCCCAGCCCACCCACAGTCCCAACCCTTTTTGGTGGGTGCTGCAGTCCAGCCCTGCCCAGTCTGTTCCCATCCCTGGCTCATGCAATCTGGTAGATGTGATAGAAAGCCCAGCCCTACATGACCCACGCTCCAGACTGGCTCCTGTACAAGTGAGTGGGCTAAGGTTGGTCTGGCCCTGCCCTGTCCTACCCATATTCTTGCCAATGGATGGAGCTACCTTGCCCAGCTTGACCAAAATGCAGGCCTGAATCACATGCTCACCAGCAGGAGCTACAGTCCACCATGGAAGTTTCCCAAGTTCCCACACCAGGCTCACTCTTGGACCCAGATCTCACATGTGCTGGTGGGTGCTAGGTCCTCACCCAGCATTATCTGCCCCCTCCATTCTGGCCTTTGTAAGAGCTGCTGGATATT